ATTCCGCCCCCCCCATCCCAGATATTAAAACGTGTTATAAAGCTACATTAACTAAAGTCCTATATGGTAGGTGTAGGTTTTATTTTCCTCATTCTACCAGGGATGGAATAAAGGAGTCAGCAGTTGAAATCACTTTCCCAATGTGAGTAGGGGGCCAAAATTCATGTTCAGTTTTTCTGACTCCAGAGCTCCAGTGAAAAAGAAAGCCCTGATACTTTTAGGTCATATGTCTTTATTTTCTTCTTCTTCTTCTTTTTTTTTTTTTTTTTAAGATAAGTATCCATATTTATCCCATTAGTAAAAACGTTTTTATAATTTACCTTTTGAGTAGCATTATGAATTAATGGCTCCCCAGACTCAACATGTCCAAATAATACTCAATTTATCAGGAACTAAATAGTATGAGCTCCTTTAAATGGACTGGATTCCTTTGTTCTTTTGCTGTCATCCCTGCTAATTTTAAGTGATTTTGGTTTCTGGCCACCAGATATTCCAGACACATTTTGATTCTTCCCATCCTAAGATATAAAATCAGCAACCTTACATGGAGTACAGATTCCTTATAGGGAATATTAGTATTAAATAAAAGGCTTCCAGCCCTTTAGTATTAAAGAAAGGCTAGATGACTTTTCTGTAATACTAATTTTTTTCTTATTTTAAAGACTTTTTTTTAGAGCAGTTTTAGATTAACAACAAAATTGAGAGAAATGTACAGAGATTTTCCCCCATTGTGTTCTGATCCCCTGCTCCTACACATGGATGGCCTCTCCATTATCAATATCCCCCAAATGTGGTGCATTTGTTACAATTGATGAACCTAAACTGACACGTTGTTATCACCCACAATCTCTAGTTTATATTAGAGTTCACTCTTAGTGTTGTATATTCTGTGGGCTTGGAAAAATGTATAATGAAATTCATCCACCATTATTATCATGTAGAGTATTTTTACTGCTTTAAAAATTCTCTGTTCTCTGCCTGTTCCTCCATCCCTCCTTGCTAACTGCTGGCAACCACTGACTTCTTACTGTCTCCATAGGTTTTCCCTTTTTAGAATGTCATATACTATAGTTGGAATTACATAGGATGCACCATTTTCATATGAGATTCTTTCATGTAGTAATATGCATTTAAGTTTCCTCTATGTCTTTTTGTGGCTTGGTATCTCATTTATTTTTAGTGCTGAATAATATTCCATTGTCTGGATGTACCACAGTTTATCCATTTACCTACTAAAGGACCTCTTGGTTGCTTCCAAGTTTTGGCAGTTATGAATAAGCTGCTATAAACATCCATGTGAAGGTTTTTGTGTGGACATGTTTTTGACTCATTTGGGCAAATACCAAGAAGTGCAATTGCTGGGTTATATTGTAAAGTATGTTCAGTTTGTTTTTCAAACAACCCCGTTAAAAAGTGGGCAAAGGACATGAACAGACACATTTCAAAAGAAGGCCTACATGTAGCCAACAAACATGGTTTTAAAAAAGCTCAGCATCATTGATCTTGGAGAAATGCAGATCAAAACTACAATGAGATATCATCTCGCACCAGTCAGAATGGCTATTATCTAAAGTAAAAAAATAACAGATGTTGGCAAGGTTGTGGAGCAAAAGGAACACTTATACACTGCTAGTGGGAGCCTAAATTAGTTCAACCATTGTGGAAAGTAGTGTGTCAATTCCTCAATACCTAAAAACAGAAATTCTATTTGACCCAAAGGAATATAAATCATTCTATCATAAAGACACATGCACACATATGTTCACTGCAGCACTATTCATAAGAGCAAAGACATGGAATCAAACTAAATGCCCACCAATGATAGACTGGATAAAGAAAATCTCATACACATATATCATGGAATACTATGCAGTTGTAGAAAGAGTGAGATTATGTCCTTTGCAGGAACATGGATGGAGCTGGAGGCCATTCTCCTGAGCAAACTGAAGCAGTAACAGAAAACCAAATACTGCATTCTCTCATTTGTAAGTGGGAGCTAAATGATGAGAACACATAATGGGAAACAACAGACACTGCTGCCTAATAGGGAGTGGAGGGTGGGAGGAGGGAGAGATTCAGGAAAATAATGAATGGGTACTAGGCTTAATACCTGGTGACAAAATAATCTGTATAAAAAACCCTCATGACACAAGTTTACCTGTATAACAAACCTGCACAGGTACCCCAACTTAAAAGTTTTTAAAATAATTGTTTCATTTTTAAAATTTGAATTAAAACAATTTTAAATATTCAATTGACAAACAAAGAATGTATATATTAAAGGTATACAATGTGATGATTTTATATACATGTGCATTGTGTAATTATTACTCCAATCATATTAATTAACATATCCATTACCATCTATGTTGTACATTGGATCCCCAGAGCTTGTTTATCTTATAACTGAAAGTTTGCCCCCATTCATCAACATCTCCCCATTTCCCACACCCTCTCATCCTTGCCAACTGCTGCTTCACTCTGTTTTTATGATTTATGTCAAATCGAAACTGATTTTACATATAAGTGATATCATATTGTATTTGTCTTTCTGTGTCTGGCTGATTTCACTTAGCAAAATGCCCTCCAGGTTCATCCACAAATGGCAAGATTTCCTTCATTTCTTATGGCTGAATACTATTCTATTGTAAGCAGTTGTATATATACATATATATGACCATTTCTTTTTTCATTCATTCATTTACAGACACTTAGGTAGTTGCCATGTTTTGGCTATTGTGATAATGATGGAATGAATGTGGGAGTGCAGATGTCTCTTTGAGTTACTTAGTTCCTTCAGATATAAATTCAGAAGTGGAATTGCTAGATCTTATGGTAGTTGTATATTTAATTTTTGAGGAATCTCCCCACTTTTTTTCATAATGACTGTATCAATTTACATTCCCACCAACAGTGTGCAAAAGTTCCCTTTTCTCCACATCCTCTCAAATACATATTATCTCTTGTGTTTTTAATAATATCCATCCTAACAGGTCTGAGGTAATATCTCATTGTGGTTTTGAGTTATATTTCCCTTGATGATCAGTGCTATTGAAGATCTTTTGATGCACTATTGGCCTTTTGTATGTTTTCTTTTCAGAAATGTCTATTCAGGGTCTTTACTTATTTTTAATTGGATTATTGTTATTATTATTATATTGTTATTGAGTGGTGTGAGTTCCTACTATATTTTGGATATTAACCCCGTATTGAATACGTGGTCTGCAGATATTTTCTCCCATTCTTTCTGTGTGTTGCCTTTTCATTTTGTTGGTTGGTTGCTTTGCAGAAGATTTTTAGTTTGATGTAGTCCCACTTAAATCTTTTTGCTTTTGTTCCTTGTACTTTTGGTGTCATCTAAAAAGACATTGTTGAGACCAGTGTCAAGAATCTTTTACCCACTGTTTTCTTCTAGGAGTTTTACAGTTTCAGGTCTTACAGTTATGTCTTTTATCCATTTCAAATTAATTTTTGTGAGTGATGTAGATAAGGGTCCAATTTTATTTTATTTTTGTATATAAATATTCAGTTTTCCCAGCACCCTTTATTGAAGAGACTATTCTTTCCCCATTGTGCTTTTATCGAATATTAGTTGACTGTATATGTATGTGTTTATTCCTGGACTCTTAATTCTATTCCAATGGTGTTTATGTATGTTTTTATACTAGCACTATACTGTTTTGATTACTATAGCTTTGTAATATACTTTGAAATCAGGAAGTGTGGTCCCTCCAGTTTTGTTCTTAAGATTGTTTGGCTATTTGTGGTCTTTTGCGGTTTTGTATGAATGTTAGAATTGTTTTTCTATTTTTTTGAAGAATACTGTTAGAATTTTGACACAGATTGTTTTGACTCTGTAGATCACTTTGGGTAATATAGACATTTAACAGTACTAATTATTTTGATCCATGAACATCAGGGTACTTTTTCATTTGTTTGTGTCCTCAATTTTTTTCATCAATGCCTTGTAATTTTTAATGTAATCACAGATCTTTCAAATTTGTGGTTAAATTTGTTTCTAAGTGGTTTATGTTTCTGATGCTCATATACATTGCATTTTTTTTCCAGATAGTTTTTTGTTAGCATATAGAAATGCAACTGATTTTTATAATTTGGGTTTGTGTCCTGCAACTTTATTGAATTTGTTTATTAGTTCTAATAGGTTTTTGGTTGAGTCTTTGAGTTTTCTATGCATAATATTGTATAATCTGCAAGCAGAGAAAATTTTACTTCTTTCTTTCCCTAATTTGTATGTGTTTTATTTCTTTTTCTTGCTTAATTGCTCTGGCTAGGACTTCCAGGAATATATTAAGTAGAAATGGTGAGAGTGGGAGAATATGTCTGATTTTGTAAGAAACTGCCAAAGTGTCTTTCAAAGTGGTTTTATCACTTTGCATTCCCCTCAGCAATGAATGAGAGTTTGTATTACTCCACATTCTTGCCAGCATTTGGTGTAGTCAGTGTTCTGGAATTTGGCCATTCTAATAGATGTGTAGTGGTATCTCATTACTGTTTTACTTTGCATCTCCCTTATGACTTATGCTTATTTTCATATGCTTATTTTCTATCTGTATATATTTTTAAGTGAATTATCTGTTCAGGTCATTGGCCTATTTTTAAAAATCAGGCTATTTATTTATAGTTGAGTTTTAACAATCCTTCATATGTTTTGGATAATATCCTTTATCAGATATGCCTTTTACAAGTATTTTCTCCCAGTCTGTGGCTTGCTTTTTCACTCTCTTGATGTCTTTATTTTTTAACAGACTTATGTTAGCCAAACATATTTGTAATAGTTTAAATAGTGTAAACCCAACATAAAAAGATTGAAATTCTTGCAACTGATTAATTTATAAAACAATATCATATTCATTCTGGTAAACAAAGAAAGCATTTTGTCTATTTGATTCCAGAATAGTTGATTAATACTTGAATCTAAAAGAATAGTAAATGTTTGATCCATAATTATATTTTTAAAATTTAAGATGTATATTTATTTATTTATTTTTGTAGTTAGCTATTTAATGAGGTTCTTAAGACATTTAGAACACCAATTTGTGAGGATAAATTCGTTTCGTCAGGGCAAACACAGATCGCAGGTAGCCCTGGAGCTGAGGAACAGCTTTGATTTTTGGCAGAATTTGTGAGTCCACAGCTTTCTGATCAATCTTGCGCTGCTCTGTAATCTCGTATTTCTCTTTTTCTGTGTCGAAGATCTCACCTTCCTGGTGTCTGGGCTTCCGCAGCTGCTGCTTCTTGAAGTAAGCATCAGTAAGAGGTTTTGGGATTTTGACATTGCTGATACCGATTTTGGTTGAGGTGGCAATGACAAATTTCTGGTGTGTTCTTCGTAGAGGAACTTGATTGAGGACCAGAGGTCCAGTCACAAGTAACAAGCCACTAGCCAGCTGCTTCAGGAAGACCACCCTCTTGCCCCTGTGGCGTCCAGTGAGGATGATCAGAATGGTCCCGGGGGTAATGCTGGCTCGCAGTTTTCTCACGTGCTGACTGAAGGGTTTTTTGCTGTGGCTCAACAGCTTTCGAGGCACATCTTCAGTAGGATAGTATCTAGGCATTTTGCGAAGTTTAACCACCCGGGTACCGCCGTTCTTGTTCCCACCAACTGGTTTTGTAAGAGTTGCAAGAACCTTCTCCTTTTTCTTTTCAACCTTGGATTTAGCGGCTAAGTACTTCCTCTTGTACATGGCCTTTCTGGAATACATGGCAGATCGGGAATACCTGCCAATTCCTCTGACAAGGACAGGGTTGCGGCTGCAATGGGGCTTCCCCTTCTTGGGCTTCTTAGCCTTAAGGTTACCCTTTTTTTACCTTGCCACCAGCATCAGCCTTCTTGGCTCCGGGTTTCTTCTCTTTAGTATCTGGCTTCTCAGCTTTTTCACCTGCCATCTTGCAAGATGGGAAAGAGCTACTTTGTATTTTTATAAGTAATATGAAATGAAGCCTAGTTATTAAAAAATTAAAACCTTACTACCCCAGTTTGGGTTCTTGTCTCATCCTCCTCCCAAAATAATAATTGCTATGGTATTGGTATGTTTCCTTTAGTCCTTTTCCTAGGCTCTCAGATACATATACATATGCACTCAGAGAAAATACAAAGTGTTGTGTGCTCATTTTAAAAATATGTAATATCATTATATATATCATTCTGCCATTTTGTTTTTTATTTTATCATGTATTCTGGTAATTTTTCAAGCTATTATATATAGATTCATCCCACATTGTTCTCTCAAATACATATAGAGCTATGATCTCAATCTTCTCAAAATGTAGCAATTATTTCTGTTTCTAGAGGCCATAGGGTTTTCTTTCACTATAAGTCATATTGATTAAAATAATCCTTATGTTATAAGTTCTTTTCTGAAAGATAGTCTTTAGGCTACAACCAAAACCAAAAATGATAAGCAATGCATATTTAAACTGCATCTTCTCCATTAACTGATTTAATATAAGACATTCCCTACATCACTATTTGAATTGGTTCTCATACTTCCATTCTATGGGTAGTATACATCTTTTGTATTTTAAAATATTGATGTGTGCCAATTTAATTTAATTTTAATCATTCTTTCATAGTGTCAGATTTTTCAAAACTCCTACAGATGGATGAAATATATATTCTCCTGGTTTCATAGATCCCTTCTCTACCTTTGACGCAGTTTTTTTGTCTACTCAGATGTAAAGTACCTCTCTTCAATTTGGCTTGTTTTCAAGTTTCAGTCTTTCTGCTTCTAGTTCTATAATTATAATGCTGATGCCTGCTCAGGTAGACTTGATAACATAAAATCTGGATAACATCACATCCAAACTGTTTTTTAGCAGTTCATTTAAACATTTTTAAATTAGTGAATAAAAATTATATATATTTGTGGCATATAACGTGATGTTTTGATATACGTATACATTATTCTGTGGCTACATCAAACTAATAAATGCACTACCTCACATACTTTTTTTTTGTGGTGAGAACACTTAATATCTACTCTTAGCAATTTTCAAGTATATAGTACATTATTATTAACTATAGTTACCAAGTTATACAATAGATTTCCTGAATTTATTCCTCCTGTCAAAGTAAAATTTTGAATCTTTTGACCAGCATCTCCTGAATCCTGTACCTGTCCCCAACCCCTGGTAACCACCACTCCACTCTGTGTCTGAGTTAGATTCTTTTAGATTTTACATATAAGTGAGATCACGTGGTATTTGTGTTTCTGTCATGGCTTATTTCACATAACATAATGTCTTCTAGGCTTATCCATGTTGCTGTAAATGACAGAATTTTCTGGTTTTTTGGTTTTTTTTTTGGACAGGGTCTCGCTCTGTAACTCAGGCTAGCGTGTAGCGGCATGCTCACAGCTCACCGCAACCTCGACTTCTTGGGCTCAAACAATTATCCCACCTCAGCCTCCCTAGTAGCTGGAACTACAGGCATGCGCCACCACACCTGGCTAATTTTTGTATATTTTGTAGAGATGAGGTTTTGCCATGTTGCCCAGGCTGGTCTCGAACTCCTGGACTCAAACCAGCCACCCACCTCAGCCTCCCAAAGTGCTGCAATTATAGGCGTAACTCATGGCACCCTGCAGATTTTTTTCTTTGTAAAGGTTGAATAGTATTCCATTGCATATATACATTTTCTTTATCCATTTGGCCATTGGTAGACACTTAGGGTGATTCCATATGTTGGCTATTGTGAATAATGCTGCAGTGAACATGAGAGTACAGATATCTCTTTGACATACTGATTTCATTTCCTTTGGATATATACACAGTAGTGGGATTGCTGATTAGTTCTATTTTCAATTTTTAAAGGAACCTCCAGCTGTTTTTCATGATAGCTGTATCAGTTTATATTTCTACCAGCAGTGTATAAGGATTCCCCTTTTCTCTATATCTTTGCCAACAAGATTACCTATAACTTTCAATTCCAAGTTCTGTGGATGTAAATCCCTCCCTGAGAATTCTATGAATGACTGGTTTGCCAGGCTCAAATGATCCTCCCACCTCAGCCTCCTGAGAAGCTGGGAATACAGGGATGTGCCACCTTGCCTGGCTAATTTTTATATTTTTTGTAGAGACAGGTTTCACTGTGTTGCCTAGGCTGATGTTGAACTCCTGGGCTTGAGCAATTGGCCCACCTCTGCCCCCAAAGTGCTGGGATTACAGGCGTGAGTCACTGTGCCTAGTCCTGCTTTGCCTTTAATCATTTTGATTCTGCATTTAATTGTCCAGACTTACGCCTGGTCAATCTGTACTTAACTAACTACTCTATTTATTTATACAACACATCCACATCGTGGTTATGTATTTTTGTGATTTTTTTTGGTTAATAGTTGTCAGTTCTGAGATGTGAGCCCTGTGAGGAGGGCAGGGATCCTCACCATTCTATTACCAATTCCTAGCACAGTACCTGGCACATAGTAGGCTCTTTAAGAGACTCAAAATATAAGGAAGGAATAATTGAAGAGTACTTGGGATTTGCGATGAGGAGAAGATAGCCTTGAAAATAAAGGGGAAGGCTGGGCACAGTGGCTCACACCTGTAATTCCAGTACCTTGGGAGGTCAAGGCAGGTGCATTGCCTGAACTAAGGAGTTTGAGACCAGCCTGAGCAACATGGTGAAACCCCATCTTTACAAAAAGTACAAAAAACTAGCTGAGTGGTGTGGCACACACCTGTGATTCCAGTTACTCTGGAGGCTGAGTTGGGAAGGTCACCTGAACTAGGCAGGTCAAGGCTGCAGTGAGCCATGATTGCACAACTGCACTCCAGCCTGGGTGATAGAGTGAGACATTCCTTAAATTTTTTTCAAAAAAGAAAGAAACAAAGGGGAGATAAGAGAGAGAGAAGAGAAAGAGAGAGAGAGAGAAAGAGAGAGAAAGGAAATGAATGAGAGAGAAAGACTATGTCTTCCTTGAAGACAAGGAGGAGAAGAAATGAGTGGAAAAACATGATGAGATTCAAGTGAATGAAGAAGTTTGCCAGGTGGTTTCATCTCAGTTTCCCCAGAGTAGTAGAAAGTTTCAGGATTTGGTAGTTATATAAAATTGGATTTGAATCCTACATCTTCTCTTTTAAGGGGATTATTAGACAACTTACTTAATCTTGCTCACTCTCGATTTTCACATGTATAAATTAATGATGATAATACGCCACAAAATGGTTGGTAATGATTAAATAAGACAACAAAAGCAGCATTGCATGGTAGTTACAGCATGGAACTGGAAGTAGACAGGTTTGGACAGACTCTTCCCTCTGCTACTTATTAGCTAAGTGATCCTGGGCAAGTTACTTAAAGTCTTTAATTTTGAAAAGAAGTGGTAGGAAGAAAAATAAGGAATGAAATTTATTAATCAAATAAATTATAAGATATCTAGAAAGAGATAAAAATATAGAGGGTGATATCAGTACAGATATATTTGTTTATAGCTATGGGCCAGGATTCAAACACAGGCTATCTGCTTCTAAGACCTGGGTTCTAAATTTCTAGCTATACTTACTCTTTTAAACAAAATAATCTAACAGAAGTATATGGAGTTGGGACTCTTAATTACATTAAAATAATGTTCTGTCAGCAATCAAAGTATTAAGGAACTTTGAGTGGAACTTTAAAAAAGGAAAAATATTTTCTATTTCAATGGAGTGGCATCCTGAAAAAAACAACATCCTATTGATTGTCTTTCATGGGATTAATGCCATGAAACACACTGAAATACTGTTTTAACATAGCTATGGTGCATCAGAAGAGGTAAAAATTTATTTCAGTTGGTCTTAAACAAATCCAGTGCCATTTCACAGGATATTCAATTTACTTTAAAAAATTCTTGGCTTTTTATTGATTCGGTGACAAAGTCAGTGAAACCTTAATAAGATGGAATAGTAGGACAATTGTTTTAGGCACAATCAAGAGCCCTGCCTATAGGTATCAGATGTCAGAACAGACAATGATTTGAGTTCAGATGAGCTTGAAGAATCAGAAATCTTAAAGGTCAAGCATGTAAAATTCCAAATGCTGAGATAGTTTGAGGAATGACCCTGTAGAGCAGAAACGAGAGTGAACTTAATTCTACAATACAGGCCATTTGCTAACATGAAATCATAGCCAGAACATGTAAAACCACAGCAGTATTTTCTTCCAGTACTTACAACAAACAGATTTGAAATGTAATCAGCTTTTCCTATCGTCACAATGCTGGAGACATATTGACTGCTTCTATCACATCTTCTAATTGCATTAGAGCAATTAAAGAGTAATTATATTGCTTGCATAGTCTTTTCTTAATGATGCCACCCTGGAGGTACATTTCCAAAAAGGTTTTAAATTGTTTAATTTTTTTTTTTTTTTTTGAGATGGTGTCTCGCTCTGTAGCCTAGGCTGGAGTGCACTGGCGTGATCTCAGCTTACTGCAACTTCTGCCTCCTGGGTCTGCCTCCTGGGTCCTGGTTCAAGCAATTCCACTGCCTCAGCCTCCTGAGTAGCTGGGATTACAGAAACGTGCCACCATTCCCAGCTAATTTTTGTATTTTTACTAGAGACGGGGTTTCACCATGTTGGCCAAGCTGGTCTTGCACTCCTGACCTCGTGATCTGCCCGCCTCAACCTCCCAAAATGCTGGGATTACAGGCGTGAGCCACCATGCCCGGCCTAAATAGTTTAATTTTTGTTATGAAACATTGGAGTGGAAAGTCTGTACTAAATGAGTGAGCCAAATAAAGATGTGGTAAAAGTGGCAAATGAAATAAAGGGGAAGACTTAGATGAATGAAGCCTTAACTGATGGCCAAGCCCATGGTAGGGATTATGGTTTCATCAAAAATAATATCTACTAGGTAAAGAAAATGTTAAATTTGCTTTTTATACAGTTAATTTCCTTTCATGTTGTTGTTTAAATTTTTTTTTCCATGTAAGACGGAAAAATGGAGAGACTCAATAGAGGAATTGAAAAACAGGAAGAAAAGGCCGGGTGTGGTGGCTCACGCCTGTAATCCCAGCGCTTCGGGAGGCTGAGGCAGGTGGATCACATGGTCAAGAGATTGCGACCATCCTGGCAAACATGGTGAAACCCTGTCTCTACTAAAAATACAAAAATTAGCTGGATGTGGTGACGCTTGCCTGTAGTCCCAGCTACTTGGGAGGCTGAGGCAGGGAGAATCGCTTGAACTTGGGAGGCAGAGGTTGCAGTAAGCCAAGATTGCGCCACTGCACTCAAACCTGGCGACAGAGCGAGACTTTGTCTAAAAAAAAAAAAAAAAAAAAAAAAAAAAGAAAGAAAAATAGGAAGAAAAGAGTCAGGAAAGTAAGAATTCTCCTACATGCTTTTAAGATATTTAACCAATTTTATATCAGATCTATATTCTAGTTTTTATTTTACATTTTATAACGGGCCTTCAAAAAGTTCCTGAAGAATGTGTATTAAAAAAAAACTATGCATGAATTTCAACATTTTTTTCCACCAAAATAAACTCATACGAACTTGTTTTAACATGTCTGAATGGGATTTAGTTTGAGGCACTAAGAAAGATAAAACACCAGTTTGAAGAACCTCTATCAGCAATGTGAATTCTGATAAAAATGAAGCAAGAACAAACATTAAATATATGGTGAAGATAGGGCGAAAGAATGGTGAAATCATTGATGCTTTATAAAAGGTTTATAAGGACAATGCCTCAAAGAAATCAGCAGTTTACAAGTGGATAATCATTTTAGTAAGGGATGAGATGATGTCAAAGATGAAGCTCAAGGTGGCAGACCATCCACATCAATTTGTGAGGAAAAAATTAATCTTGTTCATGTCTTAATTGAAAAGGACTATTAACAGCACAAACAATAGCCAACAACATAGACATCTCAATCACTTCAGCTTATGCAGTTATGACTAAAATATTAAAGTTGAGCCAACTTTCTACTTGATGAGTGTCAAAAATGTTGCTCCCAGAGAAGCTGCAGGTAAGAGCAGAGCTTTCAGCAGAAATTTTTTAAGCAATTGATATCAAGATCCTGAAGCATTTCTCCAATGAAATGTAAAAGGAGGCAGAACATGGCTTTACCAGTACGATCCCTAAGGCACAGCACAGTCAAACAATAGCTGCCAAGAGGTGGAAGTAATCCAGTCAAAGCAAAATTGGACCAGTCAAGAGCAAAGGTCATGGCAATAGTGTTTGGGATTCTCAAGACATTTTGTCTGTTAATTTGCTGGGAGGCCAAAGAATGATAACTACCATAAGAGTGTTTTAAGAGAGTTGGCCAAAGCATTAGCAGAAAAATGCCCATGAAAGCTTCACCAGAGAGTCCCTCTCCACCACAATAATACTCGTGCTTATTCCTCTCATTAAACAAGGGCAATTTTGCAAGAGTTTGCATGGGAAATTATTAGGCATCCATGTTACAGTCCCGATTTGGCTCCTTCTGACTCCTTTTTGTTTCCTAATCTTAAAAAAATTGTAAAGGGCATCTATTTTTCTTCAGTTAATAATGTGAAAAAGACTGCAGTGACATAGATAAATTCCCAGAAGCTTCAATTCTTTAGAGATGGACTAAATAGCTGGTATCATCACTTGCATAAATTTCTTGAACTTGATGGAGCTTATGTTGAGAAATAAAATTTATATTTTTTGTTTTTATATTTTAACTCCATTTTTTACATGAACTTTTTGGAGTCCCCTCACATTTTATAGTAAGAGAACATTACACAGTAGCATTTTTTTAAAAAAATTGTTTTAAAATTATTTCTTTTCCTATAATAATTTTCTCTTTCTAGCTTGACTCTACAGTTGTGACTTTAAAAATTGTATCCTGGCTACTTTCAATCCCCAAATATTTATCAGAATGTAATATAACAAAAGGATCAGTATAAGATTTTGTATATAAACACATACATATATTTACTTATTTACATACATACACACCTCTATCTATATAAAATACATATACACATCTATAATCTTATACATAAGATTATACACTAGGAAGATCTTATATCTTCAGTGTGTTTGTGTGTAGATTCACACTCAGACTTTCACACTCTGAAGATCATTATGTGATTGCATTTCATGTTAAGGGTTCTTCCGAGAGCTTTTATTCTACACTATCTTTTTCTTCAATTTTCACATTATGCCTAATCTTGGAAAGACTTCCTCTCATGGAGTATTTTAATAAAAGACCCTTAGAGCAGCATATACCCTCCATCTTTTCTTACAAGGCTTTAGATTATCTTGACTCCTATTACCTAAAGATATGTCTAATGGAAACCTTAAAAATACCATGTCAAGTTCTAATAGCTGGAAATAGCTGGAAGTTATAATAGATCAACAGGAAGAAGCAGTTTTATGTTTTAAATTAAATAATTAAAATTCAGAATTTACTTTGATATGTTAGTGTTAAAGTTAACTAAAGTTTATGATTTAAAGTGAGACATAATGAAAATAATATTAAATCTGGTATTGAAAGACCTGGATACTTATCTGAACGTCACTATTTATTTGCTCTATGACCTTGGGTAAGACAGCCTTTCAGCCTCACTCATCATCAGCTGAAATGTGTGGTTATTAATACCTTGCTGCCCACTTCCTCATGGTGCTATCAGGATGAGATACATGAAAATATTGTGTAAACAGTGCAGTCTGTAAAAGTTACTATTGTAAATAACAGTTAATATGCTCCAGTCAGTGTATTAAGCATTTATATCATTCTTTCAACAGTTTTACAACACAGGCAACATTAATATTCTGCTCTTATAGGTCAAGAGGTTGAGGCTCAGCAAGTGTAAGATATCTGCATGAGGGGAAAAGGTAAGATCTGAATCCAGGTCTGTCTGAGGCTAGAACAAATGCTCACAATTGCATCACTTTCATTAGTTATCAGAATAATAATCACTACATAGCATTATGTGTGAACCAGTCGAGGCAGTAAAAACACAGTTCTCTTCATTATCACATCTGAATTTTAAATGCAAAAACAAAATAACATCTGTTTTTCATAAAAGTGAAATGCCATGGAGTTCTAACCATACAAATGTTTTCTTCTCTTAGAATTTAATTGTCCTGAATCCACTCACAGTGACTGAGGAGGAAATAAGACCATCACTAGAGAAACGACTCGAAGCCATTATCAGTGGGGCTGCTCTGCTGGCAGATTCTTCATGCACGAGGGACTTCCACCGGGAGCGGATTATTGCAGAATGCAACGCCATTCGCCAGGCTCTTCAGGATCTGCTTTCAGAGTACATGAACAATGTAGGTGACTTGTTTGCCCTCCCATCCCTAGCCCCTCTTTCCTTGTACTTTGAATATATGCTGAGATACTTTCCGTGTACAAAACAGGATAAATTACAAATGAGTATGTGATTTTACATGGGTTGGTTTTCTAAGTGAGTTCTGCTTGGTTATTTTTGGGGAACAACCACCCTGGGAGTTTCTAGGGATGAAGTCAGAACCAGAGGGGTATTTACAAGTGACCGTTTTGTTTGTGGAAGTATCTCAGTATTAGTTGAAGAAGTAAATCAGGATTGGAGAAAGGAAACTAGAGTTGCACATAAATTTAAGAGATATAAAGAAGACAAAGAGAGGGGCAGATTGCTCAGGATTAAATTGGCGAATAATGAAAGGCCATTAGAAGTTAATATTCAATAAAAGTGATATTACAGGGGTCATGAGCTATGTTTGAAGGTGTGTAAAGAACACCTTCATGCCAGTTGTTATTTTTGTTGTTGTTGTTGTTTTATGGAGATAGACTGTGTCTTGCTCTGTTGCCCAGGCTCAAGTGCAGTTGGGCGATCACAGCTAATGGCAACATCGAATTCCTGGGCTCACAGGATCCTTCTACCTCAGCCTCCCAAGTAGCTGGGACTACAGGTGTGTTACCATGCTCAGCTAATTTTTGTAGAGACGGGGTTTTGCCATAATGCCCAGACTGATCTCGAACTCCTGGGCTCAAGTGACCCTCGCACCTTGGCCTCCCAAAGTGCTGGGATTACAGGCACCCACACAGTTTTGGCAGCTGCTAATCTTTTTCAGGTGTGACAGTGTCTAGTGTTTTTTTTTTTTTTTTTTTTTTTTTTTTTTTGTTGTTGTTGTTTTTTAAGTTTTAGTTATCACTCAGAAATATTGGAAAAGTCTAAATTTAGGGCAAAAATATTTGTTTCAAAATCCATTTTGTTTCATCATATACATACATATATATGTGAAATATATATCTCTTCTCTATGGAATGTCTATAACTATTGTTGCCCTCAAATCTTGGTAACATTTATAAAGTGAAGAGAAAAATCTTGAATATATTGTCAATTATATGTTGATTATGAAGATTCCTTAAATAATAGAGCTAAACAAAATGTAAGTTATAATAGGAGTATTTTGTTCATCTGCATTATTATAAGTGGAAGAATTCAAGACTCATGTAGGTATGTTTTGAGAATGATTAGTTACAAAGCGTGTGACTTTTTGGGTATGAATTTAAGATATTTGAGATTGTTCAATGTAAGTACTTTGTGTGAATAACTGAAATGCACTAAAATTATTTGGTGCATTTTGAGGACCCTTCAACACATTTGATGTATCTTCATACTCTTAATATTTGATAACTTTGCTCCCTGACCAGAAATCTCTCACCTGTCAATAAATCAAAGTTGTAAGGTAGATTTCTTTAATAAGAAAACTTTAGTAATGTCATGTCCTGCTGCCAGAATGCCTGAAGCTAGAATATCCCCAATTTTAGCATATCGTATATTCTTAAATATTTTTCAAGGTAATTCATCAGTCATAAAAAACTCAGAAGATAATATTGTATTGGAATGCCTTCTCCCATGATCTGCAAACTATTACAATTATTATTCTCATCTTCACAGATAAAATACTGTAAAGTTATAGATACATTTATTTTCTCTAGAAATGACAAAGTTATAAGTTCAGTTTATCTAAAATGGATAAATAGAAAGTTATTTTATTCTTTATAGATACAAACTCAGATATACACACATGTGCACACTTACCCACATAAGGTTGGCCACGTAATTTGTGGGGCCTAGTGCAAAATGAAAATGTCAGGCTTCTTGTTCGAAAAGCAGGGGAATGGAACTGTAGCTTTCTTACACAGTCTCTCGTGACCTATGAAAGGTTATTTTTATTTGCTATTTAATGTTAGATTTCTAGAGTATAGAGGTACTTATAAAGTGATTGCAGACACTCACAGACGTCCGTGGCTCCACCAAATGACCCTGACCTACCCCAGGGTGTGCCAAGGCCCCCACAAGGAATAAAGGGCGGCAGTAATCACTGGGTGGGAGAACTGTCTGAGGAACTATCCCAGGAAGTCACTTGGAGGTAGGACTGCATATGAGCCAAGACATGTGCTTCACTGCCGCATTGGACTACACAGATTCAAAGGTAAAATTGTTAAAAATTTCAAGAGTGTGGTAGCATAGCATGAAAACCCAAGCCTGGGACCCTGTCTAAAATTGGGATCCTGTGTGCAGTAGCAGGCCCCTGAAACTGGCCCTGTATATAATAAACACATATCACATCAAAATAGTGGTGATTTTATGGTTTTCTTAAACTAGGCAAATTGAACTGAGCTAATGAATATTGGAATTAAGTAGCAGGAACCAACCTGGAAAACTCTGGAGTGTATTATCAGGTCTCATCCCCAGTTTACTGTCACTCCAGGTTTCTGTCACAAATACTGCTTCTTTATAGCTGTTGCATCAGTTTTACTGAAAGGGAATGCATTTTTCTGGAACTAGCCGAACTCAAACCTTGCTCAGCGTTTCCTCAAAGACTTGAGATGGCTCTAGCACTTAAGTCCTCATCTTTCTACTTTAAGGAATACTGTGTCTCCTTTGGTGGACCCAGTTGTTTTTCAGATCAGTCAGTAGCTTTTGTAATTGAGCTGTGCTGATGGAGTAAATGCTTGATAAGCACAAAAACTGAAAGTGATTAATTCATCAAAACCTGTGAGTCTTTTAGCTGAAGGAGACTTCAGAGATTGGCTTAAATTTTGCAAGTCTATTGCGTCCAACCAGAGCAGTTCAGCAGTGAGAAATGACTGCAGCTTATGTTTGTCTCAGGCTCAGTCCACATGAGTGGACTCCTCTAATTCTAAACCATGACTCCTCTAATTCTAAATAAATTCACTTCCTTAAACAGATCAGCAAGTCTTGATCATTTTCTACAATGGAATTTCAACATTCAATAAGTTCAACATCTTGTCACATTAAGAAGAAATTAGTAATAAATGAGATCAGATGGGTCTGTAACAGACAAAACAGACAACCACTTAACACTATTGATTATGTATGTTGTGTCTGGAATTGGTGGGTTCTTGGTCTCACTGGCTTCAAGAATGAAGCCGCGGACCCTCGCAGTGAGTGTTACAGTTCTTAAAGATGTTGTGTCCGGAATTTGTTCCTTCAGACATTTAGATGTGTCTGGAGCTACTTCCTTCTGGTGGGTTCGTGGTCTCGCTGTCAGGAGTGAAGCTGCAGACCTTCACGGTGAGTGTTACAGCTCTTAAAGGCAGCATGTCTGGAGTTGTTTGTTCTTTCCAGTGGGTTCGTGGTCTCATTGGCTTTAGGAGTGAACCTGCAGACCTTCGCGGTGAGTGTTACAGCTGCCTGTTATAGCTCATAAAGGCAGCGTGGACTCAAAGAGTGAGCAGCGGCAAGATTTATTGCAAACACTGATAGAACAAAGCTTCCACGGTGTGGAAGGGCACCCCAGCAGGTTACTGCTGGCTGGCTTGGACAGCCTGCTTTTATTCCCTTATCTGGCCCCACCCACATCCTGCTGATTTGTCCATTTTACAGAGAGTTGATTGGTCTATTTTACAGAGAGCTGATTGGTCCATTTTGTCAGAGTGCTGATTGGTGTGTTTACATTTCTTGAGCTAGACACAGAGTGCTAGACTGAAAATTTCTCCAAGTCCCCACTAGGTTAGCTAGATACAGAGTGCTGATTGGTGCACATACAATCCTGCAGCTAGATATAAAAGTTCTCCAAGTCCCCATCCAGCTCAGGAGCCCAGTGGCTTCACCTAGTGGATCCTGCACCAGGGCTGCAGGCGGAGCTGCCCGCCAGTCCTGAACCCTGCCAGGCAGGGAGGCAGCTAAGGCCCCCCAAGAATTTGAGTGTAGTGCCAGCCCGCCTAGCCTGTGCCCGCCCTCATACCCACGCCCACGGGGACTCACACTGGTCTGCGAGCACCCTGCTTGCAGCGGCGGTTCCCGCTGGTGCCTCTCCCTCCACACTTCCCTGCAAGCAGAGGGAGGCAGGTCCGGCCTCAGCCAGCCCAGAGAGGGGCTCCCATGGTGCCATGGTGGACTGAAGGGCTCCTCAAGCGCTGCCAGGTGGTCGTGGAGGCCGAGGAGGTGCTGAGAGTCAGGGCTGCTAGCACATTGTCACCTCTCATATGTTTGCCCTAATATATACTGTCCTGTTAAATTTATGAGTGGATACATATGTATGTATATTTGGTTAGTTTTCTATTGCTGCTGTAACAAATTACCACACACTTAGTGTCTTTAACCACACAAATTTAAATCTTTCAGCTCTGTAATCAAAAGTCTGACCTGCGCCTCACTGGAGTAAAAATCAAAGTGTTGGAGGAATGCATTGTTTTCTGGAGTCTCTAGGGAAGAGTCCATTGTTTTTGCCTTTTCCAGTTTCTAGAGGTCACCCTCATTCCTTGACTCATGGTCCTCTGCCTCCATCTTATAAGGCAGCAAGGTCACGTTTCTCTGACCCTGTTTCCAACCTCATCTCTCTTTCTCTGACCACACTTTGGAAAAATTCTCTTCTTTTTAGGACTCATGTGATTAGTGGGACCCACCCAGTTTATCCAGGATAATCCTCCCATCTGAAGACCCTTAACCTTAATTACATCTGCAAAATTCCTCTTGCCATGTCAGGAAACATATTCACAGGTTCTGGGAATTTGAATGTGGACATCTCTGGGAGACTCACAACATTATATCAATGCTAGTCTTCCCTAGTGTTTTCTGTGAAGTCATTATCAGTCCTTTTGTTTCAAATCCATTATGGACAGCATCCCTCACATACTTTAAGCTCTATGCAGGCAGATCACATGTCTGTTTTGTTTAGTTTTATCCCAAGCCCCAGGCACAGTGCGTGGCATTTAGAAAAAGCTGAATTGTATTTTTGAATTAAAGAATGAATGAAATGATTGCATATTGTATATGCCATGTAATGGAGAAACAACCTCTCTGACATTATTTGAAATG